TATATATATATATATACGTAAATTAAAAAGTCCTTCCGAAGCGGGCGACGGGATTTCGATTCCGGCGACCGACAGCTTCTTACGGGCGACCCCCAAACATAAAAAAAAAAAAAAACTCTCTTTTCCCCCTTTTAAGCGCCGACAATGAGGTGCGATATGCAATGGGAAGCACCTCATCTTTTCTCACATATCAGCCTATCGAGAGAATCGATTTGTCTTGTCAAGCTATCCTTATCTAAACTAGTATCTCGTCATTTTTCTTCTTATAGGCTAGAGCATTTGTGGCATGAGGTAAATGGAGTTGACTCATCATTATCAATTGCTACTATGATCTAATTGCCCTTTTGCTTATAGGCAAGCACTTTCTTTCTTAGTTTGATTGCATGTTTGATGTTTTTGTCAGGTTGGCGACCCACTCTGTTATTGATGCCACTTGTAGATTGACCTCCTTAACGATGGTCCGACTGTCTCCTTATTTTTTTGCTCGACAACCTCCTTTGTTATCAATAAGCTCTAACTGTTAACTGCCCCTCAACAGCCGAGGGCCCAACCTCATTGTTAATCCCCTCTATTGTCGATGACTGTTTTGACAATGATCTAAGAAGAAATGTGGTCTTGGAATTATTATAATTTGTTCATTCACTTCTTTTGAAGAATTACTTTAGAAGGCAAATGGGGAAATCAAATATTTAAACACATATGAAAGATTGAACTTGCCACCGCCTAGCCCAATTCTCACCTATCGAAATCACAAACAAATAAAAGACTTAGGGTGATGTCACTTAAAAGAGAAGTTCGACAAAATAGATCATGGCCTATATCAACACTCATAGCAATTTTGTCGCTCCCTTTGGCAAGCAATACAATATCGTCCTCCATGAATTCGCCACATAGGTGAGTTAACCCGCCCATTATAACCAAAATGAATATTCATACTCAAATAATTAAGTAAAATGATTTACTAGCCAAGTTTTTGCTCACAAAGAGGTAATACAAGAAACTTTTTACATGAAGGATGATGTCATTCAAAAGCATGTACCTCACTTCTTGCTTTTAGGTCATCATGACTTTCCTTTTTTGAGAAGAGTACGATTGCGACCAATTTCCAATCGACCAACCTTTCAAAGAAGAAGCGTAGCAGTAAATCCTATGTCAGCCTTTCATTTTATTTTGTAGGCCATACAACTTGACTTATGTTATAGAGAATTCGAAGAACCCATTCTTATAATCCTTTATTGTTAAAAGAGCGCAAAGTTAACCGATAGATCAGAACCTGTCTTTCTTATAAAGAGAATTACCGTTGTAATTCTGTTAAAAGAGCTTAACATCACCTGTGTCGGAGTGAAGCCATAATGATTGAAGTTATTAGTCATCTTTGCGCACAAAGGAAGTCAACTCCAACTTGAACGGGTTGTTGTAAAAGAGAAGGTCATTATTGTAAGTCTTATTAGGGACCTCTCTTGAACTTCATAAACCCTTTACAACTCCTATGGAGCGAGAACTTATTGTTGATTGAAGAGATGAAAATGATGAGAACGAGAAAAGGATTTTACAACAAAATACTATATAAGCCTCACAAGCGCATGTAAATTCCAAAAACTAATACAAAATGCTTTTATATAGGATAGGTGTGATTGATCTAGCAGTAAAAATGTAGAAACTATTTGCGAATATCACGTCATATATATAATAAATAATTAAAGCCATCAAATTGATATCAAACTTGAGAGACGTTTAAATATTTCATTTATTTAAGAAATATTTTCATCATTACAAATGATTTGCTTGACTTATAGGTAGTGATCATTACGACTCACATAGAAGAAAAAAATTTAAGACACGGGACGAAGCGACCTCTATAGGAATTCGGCTGGACTGAATAAGACACCTTAATACCAACTTGTCACTTACCATAAATTGAGCTGAACTAACAAACCGATTATATCTATGTAGTATGACGTGCTTGTCATTCTTGTTAGTGATGACGATATTTAATACTACCAACTCTTTTAGCGTGCCATGAGCAACTTTTAGTTCAGCGAACTCTTGTTTTCGTAAGACTAATTGTTGTAAAATTTCAGCCTTGTCAGAAACATTCATCTTAGATGAAAGTTTTTCTATCCTCATCCCCGAACTCCTAAATTCACTTGGGGCAATGAGAGTGTCATGGTTGGAATGACTTTTGGGAGTCCTCTGGAGATTGCCCTACAAATGAGATAATAAAACTTTTAAATTATTACATGGTGAAAAAAGTTTAGAAAATGAGGTAGTCTAGAAGGCGAGCTCTTACCTGTGACCCTGCAGAAAACTCCAGTTCCAAAGGGAGCGACCTCTAAATCCACCCTCTATTTGAATTTCTCTACCGAATCAATTATTCCCTTGGGAAAATCGAACACTTCATTCAAATTCAATCCATCTGCATTATCTGTTCAGGCTTCATATGATCATCACCTATGAGTTCACTAAGCCTAATGTTATTGTAAAGCAATTTTCAATTCATTTACAATTCTACGAATATTCATAAATGCTGAGGAATGTCTAATACTTTATGATCGACATCCTATATATAAAGACAGACAGAGACCATTGGATCCTGTGAAGTTGGTGGTCTGGACCAGATTCGATGCAGGAAACCCTTTTACGGACGCCCAAGTTGATGAAGATGGAGCCTCCACTCTAGAGGGAGGGAAGTAATGGCTGGGATTTTAGGAGGTAGTAACTCACGAGACTCAGTCGAAGTCCTTTTTGAATGTTTAACTTTCATCTTTTGCTTTCATAATCATCTTCCCTCTTCTGCTTGACGAGCAAACTCTCAACGAGTTCTACTGTTGGGATGGTGATTTTGTCTTCCATCATGTTCTCCAACCCCGACCTCTGAGGAAATTAAATCTGAAAAAGAAATCTCCAAGGAGGAGAAGAGAGAGCCTTAAAGGGATGATCCAACATGCATTTTTCACTTTATTTACTGGGATGGAGAGACAAATATTAAGGGAGTTTTAAAAAAAAATATAATTTAGTTAAATATCATTGTGCTATTAATACAAATTATTATAATTATCTTGTTCATTTCATAGCCCTGCTATCAGAAAGATAAGATAGCCGAATAACTAAATATGTATGACCAAAAGTTCATAGAATGGGTTTAGAGCGGGTACAAGATATGAAAGGAGGCACATCGTGCTGGCTAAACAATTCAGATAAATCAGCTCGACCAATCAATTTAACTAGGGTGTTATTTTCAATAGCTCACCTATTGTGATAAGTGTACAAATGCTTGAACAGATTGAGGCAACTCGATAACTTGTGAAGAAAGCTCAACTCACCCTACGATCAAGTTGCCCTGACTCACCATGAGATCAACTTACTCAAAAAGACCAACTCACTCCATGATCGAGTTGACGGACTGAGATGTCACCAGTTAAGCTTGATGGACATTCTATAAGGAAGAATTATCCATGCAAACGAGTTAGAATAATATTAAGTATAATTCCCTTTTTCAAAGAAGGCAAAAGAGATAGATTGAGGATATCTCAAGATTCGATTGTAACAAGTACTTGATTTGTAACACGCAAGCCAACCCCTTACAAATATGGGTGGTCACTGGTCACTATAATGCCAAAGGAGGATTCTCATATATTAAAGCTCATATTTCTCATTCAAAACTCTCATTTTAATTCTTTTTTTTGATGGTGTGAATTCACGGATAAATCATGATTTAACATTGTCGTTGGAGACAGCTCTTAACCTCATATATTAAAGCTCATATTTCTCATTCAAAACTCATTTTAATTCTTTTTTTTTTGTGTGTGAATTCACGGATAAATTGATTTAACATTGTCGTTGGAGACAGCTCTTAACACTTTGGTTAAGTAGCCTCCACATATTCATTACACAACTGCAGCACTGTTATAATCCCCATATTGAATCTTGTAGAGAGAGGGAGTTGCGACCGCTGGTACGCGACGACTGTCGGGGGAAGATAACCAGGCCGGAAGGGGATGCCGACCCTCCCTCATATTTTACGTTGTAGAAAGTTATTCAATCTTTTTTCTTTTATTCTCTTAATTTTTTTTCTACCCACAACAATTTTTTCTGTGTGCAGCCCCATTAAAGGTGTTTGGAGAGGTGGATCATTGTTGGCATCTAGCCCTGATTTTGAATCAATGTGTGTATCCAAGTTGGAATATGAAGAGCTTGGGTCCACACGTTGCCGACGGCGGTTTTTCCACTAATTTATATGACAAATAATGGAGCGAATATTACGTGCGCCGTGCGTACTTACGCCCGACAGTGTGGTACAGGGGGGTCGGGGTGTTATGCTATTTTTTTCTTTTACGCTCGTCCCGGATGTACATACGGATGGGCGCATGTAATATTTTTCCCCAAATACTGATATTGAATTGGATATGGTTCCATGGATGGTATCTGAGAAGAGGTGGTTTGAATGCCATTTAGGAATTGTTCTGCCCTGGGATGCATTCAGATTTTGTGCATGTTATGAGATATGCACAGAAGCATATTCGTTTTCTCATGCACTGTCATATCACTTTTTATTTTTATTATATATTTGTTTATTTATGGAAAATTTACATACAGACCACACATTTCTTGGGTATTTAAATACATATTTTTATGTATAAATTTATAATAATAAAATATTATGACTTTAAATATCAAATTTTTAAGTGTTACATATATATAGGCTTCTCTCTCTCTTCAGTTTGGTTATAAAGATTGAATATTAAATAATCTTAATATTGGATGAGGTTTGTTCATGAAGTGCTAATGAAAGATGGCGATGATATGGATGTCAGACGATCCATAAGTAGACATACATGTATATCCCTTTCCTACTGTTGTTTGATACTTCTGTTAGTGATATCTTCCATAGAATACTCGTCGAATGTTAGTTGGAATATGACACGTAACATTTTAGAAGACCAGCTTGACATGTCGAACTAATAGCTCGTTGAGTGACCTCTATGAATTTACTTTGACATTTGAAATATAACAGCTGATACTTCGACAGATGCGTTTGACAGAGAGCACGACATCTATGTTTTTAAAAAGGTAACATGCCTAACAAATCCAAGTCACAAGAAGAGGTAGAGGATATTTTGACCACATTAGTGAAGCTAATCCTCTCCCATTAACATAATAGCTACATGGTACTCCAATTATCATTCTTAGATATTTAGCTTGATTGATACATTTTGTTTCATCTCAATCATTTAATCAATAGGGTGGATAAACACATCATATACAGTTACTGTGTTAATTGAAGAGGGCCCGAATCAGCTAAGGAGAGTATTTTTAATGGGGAAAATGGGCTCAATATCATAGCTAATGAACTAAGACACAGTATTTATATCACTTTATATTAATGTTCTATATATATTAAAAATGTTAAATTTTATTATTTTTAAAAATTATTTGGTTGGCATGGTTATAAAAATATATGTTTAGGTGTTAGATATTTAAATAAATAGGATTTGAGTGTCATGTATGTAAATATTTTTAAAATTGAGCATGTAATGTGCACTTGAAGTGAGAATGTGATATCTTCTTACTGTTTGTTATTCTAACCACTAGTTTCTCTGATTTAGGATTTATTTTTGTAAATAAATTAGAGTTGGGTGCTATGTATTTAAATGTCTTGAGATTTACACTTAGGGTATGTTTGGAGCAGCTGCAGTTTATCAAATAATCTGTTAATAAGCTGATTAAAAATAATTTATTTATAAGTTAGGTGCAGTGATTATAACAAATTTTAATTTTTTTGAAAAAGCAAGACCCCTGCCAGAAAGCTTCCACCGCACCTAGATAGGTGCGGTGTGAAATCACTATTTTCAGTGTTTTGAAAACATATAAGCTGTCAAAACACAATTTACCCAAACAGCTAAAGTGCGTTTTCAAAACGCCGTCGCATCAAATAAGCTGTCCCAAACGGACCCTTAGAATCCCTTTTTATCGGATGTGATATATATATGTAAGTACATAAGAATTGGGTGGTATGTATGTAAATGCCCCCACAATTCTGGCCTCCCGTCCCCTTCTTTTTTATTTAGTCCCACACCCTTATTAGGAGAAGTAATTCCAATTAGAATTTCTATATAACATTTGGTCTTTATAATATGAATATTAACAAATTTGAATTTAGATCAAGTGAAACACGAACAAGGCTTTCACGAGCTACTCTGAACAAGTTAACACTTTGAATGCACAAAGCCAAACACGAATAAGCTTTGGGCTTGCTCATTTGGCTCGTTGACACCCCTAATTTGTGGTGATTCAAATACATGATTTCAGAGGCTTTTCCTTTTTCAGTCATTTTAATTGAGTACTTATTGCCTTCAAATGCTATGTAATTAAAAGTCTGAAGAGTTTTGAAATGAACCAACCAAATGGAACCAAAAGTAATTTACACTAATTAAATACTGTTCAGCAGATTTCCAATCCATTCTAATTTCCTTCATTCTTCTCACACATTCAAACAGAGAATATATACACACAATGCCCAGACTCTACCGTTCCAGCGTCACATACAACTCTTAAAACCATAAGACACGACCAATGAACACAAATGCAGAAATTTACTACAACATAAACAAAGGTTAATAATTGGTAAGGACCAGCTGATTTACACCAACGATAGCTCTTCACCTACAGCTAATTCATTCCATCCTGCCATCTATGAATACATCTCAGCAGCTCAAAGTAGGAGCCAGATGTTGCTGCGCTTCGATTCGAACAGGCTGCCTGAAGTTCTGCTGCTCATCCTTTTCCTCTCTGCTTTCCTCGGTGACGTTTCGAGGCAGTTTTTCATTTTCAGTGACGGCTTGACGCTCATCAAACAAGTTTACAATGTTTCCTTCATGATTATTCTCTTCACTACCTTTCTTCTCAGCTTCTTCAGAGACTGCCACATTATCCTGCGTTGTTATTGCATCGTCTGCAGGAGCGCCTTCAGCCACTTGTGCATCTTCAGTGATTTTAGCCTCATGAATCTCCACATTGTGTTTTTCCTCATCTTTGTGATCTGGAATGTCTTCGGGAGCAGCTTCAATGTTTGCATTATTCTTAGTAGATGCTGATGATGGTCGCCTGGAACGTTTTTTCCTGGGTTGAGGTTCTGGTGGAGAAACTGCCTTCGCCTTTTCACTGATTCGTGCGGATCTTCTAGGCGTCTCGCCGCTTGTGCTCCAATCGAATTCGTGTAAAGCAGGCGCTCCGGAATGGGATTTAAGGTATTGTTCCAGTTGTTTTCTGCTGATGATTTCTTCTCCAGTAGGTGCAGTGAAAGCAATTTCATTTTCCTTGGATCTTCCACTTTTCTTAGGTGTAAACTGCAGGGGTAAAATTGTAAGCTTTGAGAAGGCAGCATGACTTTACACATCAGAAAATATAAATATATAGTTCATTCACAGAACAATTACCTTGCACATGTCACAATTTTATTGACATGAAACAACCATATTTCATACTTACCATATTCTTTAATTTGTATCAGAAATGTAGAGCTGTGATAAATTAATTGCAAAATTAGCACTCACTTTCATCCGTTTTTTCAAACACTCGCTCAAAATTCATAATAGAATCCCAACCCATTTTCATTTTTATCAAATTCCCAATGGTTTTATCATGGCATGCATAAATGCACCGGTTTAGTAGTTTTAAAAAATGACAGAGTGCTATTTTTATGATTATATATATATATATATATATCTATCTATATATTTAACTCGTACATATATTTGTTCTACTATTTTATGTTATTTTATATTCTAAATATATTTTCCATCACTCAAACTTGTAACAGTTCAAAAGTGGACTCACTCATCAAAAGTGTACTATCTACAAAAAACATACACCTAAGTACCTTATTCTGAATATCTTTTGTAAGAATCTCCATAATCAATATAAAAAAAAATCATCTTAATGTGATCTAGTTAAGCTGGAGAAATTTTTGTCACTTCAACTGCTAATGCTAATCGATACTCCAATATACATTTTTAATAACTTCAAAATACACACTTTATTGCTTAAGACACACTTAATCAATCCTAATGACTCGACCGTAAGCTTTCTCATTATCTATAAAAATTATTTGAAGATCCATTATTTGGCCACCATAATTTTTTTTGTTTAAATTCCTTGCACAAAAAATGCCATTATTCCAGATCTTTCAGGCAAGACAATAAATTGATTTTCTCATAAAAGTATGCTTTTCTTATTATACATTTCAGCACTCTCTGCAATAACTTCATTGCACAATCCAAAATTTTGACCTCTGCATAATTACCATAATCTTGAACAACTACTGTAATCTTAATATTGGCATCAAAATATTTATTCTTCGATTATTTGGTAACTTCTTTATCTTTAAATATATTAGTAAAGAATTCTCAATGAAACCACACTAAAATCACTGATAACTCTTCCAATCTCAAAAGATAAAATTATAACTTCGTACTTCTTGAAAGCTAACTCAACCTCTTTCCTTGAATCAATCCACCATTATACCACACTACCCCTCATTATCCTCTTCCACAAAAGGTTAACTCTATAAAAAATCTTTTAGTGATTTCTCAAATTAGCATTTTTGTCTTTCCTTGATGTTTTCCCCTTTAACTAAGATCTTTTTATCATTGTGTTTGATGCATCTAATTTGATCAATACTTCTTAGCTTAGGTATTTCATATTTACATTCTTTTTATTCTTCCATGGTATCCAACTTATTAATAGTACATCACCGAAAGCTAAAAATTTTGTTCCAGCTACTCCTATTAGTCCTCTATATAAAGAACTATAGTTTTATTATAATCATTGAAAATCTCAATGATAATTTCTTCTTTATCTTTCCTTAAAGGCTCATTTTTTCCCTTAAAATAAACTTTTGTACCTATCCACTCTACTATTTTCTCTTATTTATATATAGAGCTATTTCCATAATCAGCCTAGAAAAAGATGAAATATTAGAAAAATTACAACCCCAAGATGCAAGACACAAATTTAGGCAAATAATGCACCACAACACATTAAGGGGGTGTTGGTACTCGATTTTAACACGGATTTATGATAAATATTAACATAAATTTGCCAAATAAAAAAATGGAAGTTAAATCCAACCATTTCACAAATCCAAAATTCTCTGTTTTGACATAAATCCTGCATTCATTAAATCCAATTATTAGGCGCATTTAATGGATTTAGGTGAGAATATGTGAGTTGTCTCTTCTCTTATCGCCAAACACTTCAAAGGGATTTAGTTGGATTTAACCTTAATCGAACCAAGCATTTTTCTGGATTTAACCCTTTTGGATTTAATAACTTCGGATTTACATAATTTATTAAATCCTATATAGGTTAAATCTTGGGTGTAGCCAAACACCCCTTAAATTGACAAAAAATCTTATCCGAATTCTAGAAATAAAAATTATATCAACCCTCCTTGCCAAATCCAAACACAAATAAAAATGATTGGGGGTTAAAGTTAGCATGAAAATCAATTATTCTTCCCACTCTGGTAAAATTCAGAACGGATAGACTTCTTTAGAACCTGATGTTCAATGGTGTCAGCAGAAGATTAGACACTTGGCAGTGTAGTAGGCCATCTTTGGCCTTTTTCTGCATTAAAATACAAAGGACTGATGAAATCTCTATATGAATTAGTGGCCCACAATTTTAGAGGATGAAGATATCAGAATTGTGGAAGTTGAATAAGCAACATCACAACAAGCTAGGATCATCTCAGGTAGGGATGTCAAATTTTAATACTACCGTATACACAACATGAGGACACTCTAAAATCATTAAATTCATATTTACCAAGTTAAGATAATGAACAAGTTTATTTCTATGATTAAACTACAAATGATTATTGATCCTTTCACGAATTGTAAACAATTGCATTTGAGTATCTAATTTAAAAAGGCACAACATTTATCTATTTTGCTGCATCTACATATAAATCTAAAGTTTCTTTTTTACTTTATATAATATGCTGATAGTAAGTTCTTGAAGTAGAAGCCAAAAGAGAGAACAATAATCATGGTGACAGAAACTAACACTAATGCTTTAGATTATCTTTCTTTTATGGTTAGTGCTAAAAATCTGAGCATTTTAAATCATAAACCTGGTATTTGATGAGGTAAAGAATATATATCTAATAATTTTAATTTTGCAGGATAAGGACAAGCTGAATCAGAAAAATAAACTCGCAACAAAAAATACCAGTATGCTCAAATCTGGACATCCAATCATTAACCTTATATTTGAATAAGCAAAGAATATCTATATGATAATTTTTTTTATTGGATAAGAACAAACTGAATCAGAAAATTGAACTCCCAAAATAAAACAACAGTGCCTGACTTATAATCTCATAATCAATAGTTTCAAATTAAAAATCAGATATGCTTCTATATTCTCTTGCAAGAAAAGACGCCCAATGGCACTTAAATAGCATCGCAAAATGAATATGTTACTTAAAGCTAAGAAAATGTTCTTTTACTTTGATTGGTGTTATATGAGAAAAATTATCATTAAACAAGACATAGGATACATCTTTTTCAGAATTATAAAACTCATATCAGATGCTAAAGTTCCAAGAATAGACAAGTCCTCTGTAAAAAAGTTTTCAGTTGAGCATGTTGGCTTTAAGATCTTCCTAGTTACGAAATCGTTTCTCAAAAAAAATGGGTTGTTAAGTTTGTTGAAAAAGTAAAGCAGTGTAAATTGAATGTAATGCAAGAGTAATGTATTATATTTAAAATTATTTGGTTTAGCGTAAAATAAACAAAAGACTTTATTTTGTATTGTTTGATTTATGAAAAAAATATATTTTAATATATTTAAAAAATAATGCACTAGTTGTCAATGGATGGCTGGCGGCGGCGAGCGGAGAGCGGCGGTGGCTGGAGGTGATCGTGTCAGCGGTGAGAACTGGGGGCAGGCCGCTGGGGCAGCTATGGCCAGCGGAAGTGATAGGGTACAGCAGGCGGCGACAGCAAGAAACAAAAACAGGCTCTGTCGGTGATCAGCAGCCAGCAATAGGCGATGGTCGGCAATGGCTGGCAATGGGTTTTGGTGGCTGTGGTGGCGTTGGCAGGCTGCGATGATGGCCAACGCGTGGCGGTGGCGGCGGGTGGCGATGGTGGTGGTGACTTGTGGCTGGTGGAAGTTGGCGGGCGGCGCTGGTGGCTAGTGGCCGGCAGTGGTTAGCTGGTGACAGACAACAACATTTTACATAGAACTGTGAATTTGGAAATTGGTAAAATAGACCCAATTCAAAATGAAGAGAAAATGAACTATAAAATGTATTCTACATTTGGTCATATTTTACACTATATTTGGAAATTGCGGACCAGACTCCAAAACTTAAAACCCATGCAAAACAAATACAATGCATTGTTTTTTCTGAAGACCAAATAGCCTAAGAAATTTGAAGAAAAATATTATTAAAAAGAATACGTTAAGAAAACTGAAAGTACACACCAATCAATGTTTCTTTAAGAACAGCAGTGCAAAAATAAAACAACATGAAGCAAAAGTAAATCCCTGAAAACTAGTTTTTGCACTTTAGAAGATTCAATGTCTCCGCTTCTATCCCCAGTTTTATCCACATGAGTAAACTATTGCAATTTTTTGACGCTGTATTAATAGAATAATGCTTTGGCAACCCCCGCAGGTACCCTGCGCTATATGTGCATGAATGCCACCTGTTCATAAACTCGTACAGATCATGTGGGCTAATAAATGGCTAACTACACCTCAAAAGCCGCAGCCCACATGGTCTGTAGATGAATTCCACATATTTTAACCATTTCAAAAGCTTGCAATAGGAACACTGAGAAGAGAAAATGATGAACAAGATGCAAACTTGTATGTATGGAAAAAAGAAAAACTAATGATTCTCTCATAATCCGAGTAAGAGAAACTGAAATCCAAAAACTTAACAGGACAAAAGTTTTGATAAGCTTTTGAGACAGGAGACTCTCAAAATCCTCATTCAGCCGAAATGGGACTAACTAAAATGATTAAATTAGGCATAGTGATCTATGGTATTGAAGCGGTACCTCAATTCATGACAAATGCATCCAAATAAAGAAGTTTGACTTTACATATTACTTTTATCCTAGACAGCAAGTAGGGCAAATTTTAAAGATGATAAACAAGCTAGGAGAAAATTTAAATGAGTCAAAACCCAACTCCAAAATTCAAGAGAAATTCTAACCTCCAAGCTAAAGAAACAAGAGAGAATAATCTTAACTATTTTAAAGGGCTTTTAGATAGCAAAACTTCACAAATCCAACCTTTAAGGAATTTTGGCCGAAAGAAGTGGAGGAGAGAGAAAAAAGTTGCTTGCATACCTCTTGAACCAATTTGATAGCATAGCATAACCATGATATGGTTTCAAGTTAATTCCAGCTCAAGTTTTACAAAATAGTTCAGTTGATGTTATGTTCAACTAGACCATAATAGATAAAACAAATCGACTGATTATTATAGATATTATTCAAGTAAAACCATAAAAAAAACAGAAGAAAAAAACCAGTCCTATGCAAAGCATGGGGCATCCATGGTCAAGCAAATAAGAGAAAATGCACAATCTTGGCTAACTTATTCAACTGTAATGCCAAGGTGCCGAATATATTTCTTTTTCGAACTAGAAAGTCTCATGCTACCCCGTTTGACTTCTTTTTTAATGAAATCTGCTAACATCTACGCTTACATATAACTCTCCTACATACCAACCGAGAGAAAGAGTAGCCCTAAAGGCATCCCATCTTCTACCCTACAGCGTCAAGAGAAAAAAAACTACAGTAAATAAGTAAGAAATTCTCTCTTTTCTTAAACTCACTATAAGGAGAATTGGAATTCCATAAGAACCACTCAACTATAAAAAAAGTCAATTCGAAGACTAACACTCCTTTAGGGGAGCAGGACATGTCAGACTAATCATTCACAAATTACAAATCCACTTCATATGTTCAGAAACCAACAGCAGCCCTCTTTCGATAAATCTACGTTCTGCAAAAGTTTTCTAGTACGATAACTCAAACAACAAGAAAAAGAAAACATGAAGAAAGCTTCCCCATGTGAGGAATTCTAGAAAACCACAAAGATAATCAATCCACTCATTCAAGTAAAAGTCAGCAATCAATTAACTAAAGCCAACACCAAAACCATCCCCTGAATCCAACACAGACCTTAATTGCAAAATACAATCCTCTGAATCCACTAAATCAAAGAAAATCAAACTCCCCTGAATCCAACACAGACCTTAATTGCAAAATAAAATCCTCTGAATCCACTAAATCAAAAAAAATCAAACCAAACCAGCTGACTGATAACTAAAAGTGTTGAAACGAAAACAGATATCTAACATAAGAAGATGAGATCAAACAGAAAACCAAGGAAAAGAACGGACCGTTTTCTTCCAACCCAAAGGCGCCGGAAGCTCGACGGAAACTACTTCCGGCTCCCTGCAACCTTCTTCCCCGTCTCCAGATGTCATCTTCTCGATCCCAAAAACACAGCTACTGCAGCTAGAAAGAGAGAGCGATAGAGCAAATGATAAAGACTGAGGAGAACCGACTTGACTCCCGCAAACAGAAACCGTATAGAGACTGAAATAATGATTTCCTTCACCATGCTTACTGGCCGTCGGATTGATAGCTATGCAATTGACGGCTGGTAATTATTGATCGCTCGCACCGTTTTTCAAGTCGGGTCTTCAATCTAACGGTTGTTGATGCGAATGGGGTTAAATATTTCGGACAAAATTAGACCGTTAGATCTGCTTTGATAGTTGAGGGAATGTCGAAATCGGACGTCTGGGAATAGGCCATGAAAGGTAAAAAGGGACCCACGTTAAATCGCGTTGGCGAGGGACGTGATAGGGAGACCGTTTGGTGGAGCCACGTGGAAGTAAATTATAGGGTATGAGAATGGAAACCGCAGAATGCTCATCAAACTGCGGGAAGGCGCATAGGAATGCTTTTTTTGTATGTTTCAATTGAAAACGACCGCAGGTGCGGGAGCGTTGTAAACGGCACGGAAACGTTAACATTAGTAGTATCTGCGCGGCACAAGTCTTTTTTATTTTTTTTTATTTTTTTTAATATTAATTATTTCTTTTTGGGGGCAAAACAATCCTTATCCAAAATTCATTCATAGATTGTTAATAAGAAAATTGATTTAAATTTTAGTTCAGATCGAAATAAATGAGTCGAGTTATGAACCCTAATTTTAGATTTAATTTTTATTTAGTGGATTTCAAGCCATACACGGATTGGCTTGAACTTTTATTTATAAAAATTAAATATAATTCTAAATAAAATCAAATATAACGAGCTATGAGTTGATTTCGAGCTGAAATGGATCTAAATAGCTCAATTTGAGTCAACTTGTTTTGATTTGGAGCTGGAATAGATTTAATTAGTTAAATTTAAGCCAACTCATTTTGATTTCAAGTCGGATCGAGCTCGATTCAATTTTGAGTTGAGCAGGCTTGAAATCAAACATAACGAGCCACAAACTGATTTCGATCTGAACTAATCCATTCGAGTTGAGGCTTACCACCTCTCATGGATCTCTTCTCCTCCCCTCCCTTTTTCTTCCCCTACTTCTATCCTCAGTCTGGTACCTCCCATGAATCGGAAAGGCATTACTTCATTTCATATCTCTAACTCCACTAACTTTTATTTTTCTTTCATGCCCTCCTTTTGATGAAAATGTTTCTTTCTCGTATGGGTGATCGAAGCTGATACCAAGCTCTGGGATCTTGTGTTAGTTGGCTATGCTCTGGGAATGAGGCCCTTCTACGGTAATTTTCTACAAAGCATTACCAAGGTCTGGAAGTTGTAGGTAACTTCCACCTTATCTCTCTATCTCATAAGGGTTAAAAAAAAACTTTCCCATTTGGAAGATATGGAAATAGTTTTATCTAGAGGGCCCTGATTTTTTAACGATTGACCATACATTTTTTAAGAAATGGTTCTATGACTTCAAACAATTTAAGGAAGATTTTCGTGGTATTCCCATTTGAGTGAAATCTCCTAATTATCACTTTCTTGCTGCATAGAGCAAGGTATTTCTACGATCACTAGAAAGGTTGGTGTCCCTTTTGCAGTTGACTTATGACCAAAGATTCACGTCTTACGTATGTTGGAGTTAACATCCAAGTTAATGTCGTTAATGTGCTGTCGGATTCCATTGATATTTCTATTAAAGGAGGGGAGCCCATATTGCCACATATATATGAATGAAAGTCAAACCCCTATTCAGGTCTAATTTTTGGCATGATCCAGCCTCCTATCCTAGATCCCCTAACTTTAAATGCACATTTCTAGCTACCAACTCTAGTGGAAGAAACCTTAGCAAGCCTCGACTAGCTTATTGTGTCTCATATAGTAAGAACAAGCTCCCATAGGCCTACCCCTCCCCCAATCTCCAACACCTCTACGTCCAACTCCTCCTGCCTCTCATGATCTTGCCCTTGATCTTAATATTAACCCTCTTACTTATGTTTGTAGTGTTGAATCCGTTGTTGACGATTAACCCTCTTACTTATGTTTGTAGTGTTGAATCCGCTGTTCCCCGTTTCCTCTACTTTTGCTTTTGTGGAGGGTCATGGTTTTTCACAAGAGTTGCTCTGCCCTCTAGTTCTCCTAGACTTACGTTCCTCTTGCAATCCCCCAATATCCTCCTCTACCCTTCCTTCTTCAACCCATGCCAAAAATAGCAGACATAGAGGGACTTATTCTCATACATAAGTATGTTTACTTCTAATATTCTCACTTGGAACATGCATGATTTCTATTATGATTATTGTATTTCTAAATGTAAAAAAGTTATAAAAGATAATAAAATTGATCTCTTAAATTAGGGAACCTTCCTTTTAGGTGTTTGCTTAGAACAGGGTGGGTGTAGTTAAGGTTTTGATATGTCTGGTTATTATTTCCTGGTCTACATCCAACCAAACCATTTTTGTTCTTTTTCTTTTGATTTATTTACTAGGTGTGAGATCAACGCATTAGTAGTTAAACATGATTTTCTTGTAAAAAGTCGTGTCCAATGGGGAGGAGCATCATGATTTAAACTAATGCCTTTTATATAGGTGTTGCTTAGCTTTCCTTCTATCAAAGATGTTTTTTTATAAATTGCATGAGGTAACCCGTGCTAACTCTTGATTGTAGGTCGAGTCTTTTTTAGAATTTTTTTATGTACATCTTTTTTAGATTTTATAGGTTGGAGTCTGTTACAGAAGTAAAGGTATAAACATGGGTTCCCAAGGCTTTTGATGTGCAGAACCACATGGTGAGGCCTAGAAGTAGCATACCCACAACTCCTACTTTAATTTTGAGTTCATGTTATTGTATATAAATTAGGATCAGACCTGTATATATAGAGTATGACTACAATGCTTTTGTCCTTCTTTGATATGTTGTTGACTCAATGGTCTCAGTTTTTTTTTTTAACATGTGTGTTGGCGTCAATTTATAATGTAACATGTGTAGGATGCCCACATGCTCGTTCAGGACGATTCATTACTCACTTGTAGCATCCTATAGCTCAAGAAAACCTTCTGAGACCTCTGGTACATATTCGGGGCACGAAACCAGGGTTTGTGATGATTCAATCACACCAGGGAGAACTCGTAGTTGGATGGACCACTCAGGACATTGGATATGTTTGATGTCCATTCTGATGTATAGGGGTCCTTTTGTATCCACTTTGAGCCTCTCTGGGTCAAGGGAAGTCACAGAGCCCTTCTATGCACATTACAAATAAAATTAAGGTTTGGAATGCATTACCTGTGTCGTAGTTCAGAATGCCTGTTGGAGATATATTCTTCAAACAATGAACAAGAAAAATACTCATTTTTAAAGTTAGGGGTTCATAATTTACTCATATGCAGTCTCTCATAATTTTTTAGTAGAGAAAACCCTCTGCTAGATGTTTACGGTGAAAACAGCATTTTTGGGGCTAGACTGGCACCTAGGCGTAAGTCCTGGACCCCTAAGCGCCCAAAAAAATAACATATATGGGGCTTAAAACTGAGGGGATGGAAGTTTGGTGCCAGTCTTTGGCGCCTAGGCATCCAAACAACTCAAAAACAACCAATTTGGTGAGCCCTTAAAAAGTAGGTGCCAGCTGGGTGGTGTTAAAACTGAGGGGATGGAAGTTTGGTGCCAGTCTTTGGCGCCTAGGCATCCAAACAGCTCAAAAACAACCAATTTGGTGAGCCCTTGAAAAGTAGGTGCCAGCTGGGTGGCGCTAAGGCTGGCACCTAGGCGTAAGTCCTGGACCCCTAAGCGCCCAAAAAAATAACATATATGGGGCTTAAAACTGAGGGGATGGAAGTTTGGTGCCAGTCTTTGGCGCCTAGGCATCCAAACAACTCAAAAACAACCAATTTGGTGAGCCCTTAAAAAGTAGGTGCCAGCTGGGTGGTGTTAATCAGAGACTTGGCGACTAGGTGCCAGGGTCGGGGCGCCTATGCGCTGGTCCACTTTCAAGATGCAATTTTCTTCATTTTTGGGAGGCATTCTAAAAGTGGGATATCCTTGGCTAATGTGAAGATATGCATGGGGGAGGTAAAAAGAGGCTCTTGATACCTCTTTTGGAGGTTCTAGGTGGTATCATTATGCCAATTTAGGTTAAATACGAGAGAAATTTTAAGGGGGGCTGAAAATATCTTCGGCTAGGGCTCATTTTCCACCCCATCATCTCCTCACTTCAGCATTTTTGGCCTCCTTCAGGAGTTGAGAAATTTTTCTTCTTCCCTTTGGAGACTCATCTTCCTCTGGGAAAGGGGCTAAGTGAGTTGGTCATCTTCAACCTTCTTCTTCTTCTTCTTCTTATTCTTCTTCCTCCACTTCACTTGATTGTGTGAGGGGATTTTCTTGAGTAGGAGCTTGGCCAACAAGGCGTAAGGTGTCTCTTCTCATACGCTAAAGAAGAGCTTCATCCTATCTTTGGGAAGGGTCAAAAGAGCATCGTCAGAACTTAGCCGGAGTACAGAACTTCACCAGAATCTTTCCCGATTATTCTCATAGAGGAAAGCTTCCTCATTACTCTTTGGAAGGACTTGTGTGGGCTTCTCCCCTTTAGTTAAGAGGGCTTCATCCAGAACATAGGCTTGGGACATCGATCAACCACTGCAGCGGTGAGATTCCCTTAAGCCATATGTATTTTCTTTCTTAGCCAACTCTAGGGTGTTTGTAGAGAGTGCTAGATTTCAGTAATAATTGATTTATTAATGTTTATTTAGTTGAATTACTGAATTTATTTGGATGAGATCATCCCTATTCCCTATGACCACTTTAAATGCTAAAAATTACCCTAACAAGTTCAAAATTATTTACTTTTTTTTGCCTTATAATTAATTTTTAGAAGAATGGTTCTTACGATTTATGACTTCTGACTTTTTATGTATTCATAAATTTATCCTTGTAATAAAACAATTGTTTGAGATTCATTATGAAAAAATATTTAAATTTAAATGGCCTTTATTTCATCAAAATTTAATCTAATTAATTTTTAATAAATGCAATACATAATTAGTCAATCAAATTTTATATTATATTC